CTAAAGCAACTAATACCTATAATTAGTCATTTATATTCAAGAAAAAATAAAATAAAATAAAACAAAAATAGGAGTGTGGCGATAGTCAATAGTTTCATTTTTGGCAATAACCTCACCCTCCTAAAGACCTTTTCGGGGAAGTTTTCAAGAGAGAGAAGATAAAGAGAACCTTTTGTCTTCCCACTATGTCACACAGAAGCTGAACCAAGCACACCTTCTTCCCCTTCTTCTTCTTCTTCTTCCTCCCTCTGCTCGACCCATGAATCCTCACAAGACCGAAGACCATCTCTTCCATCACCACCGTGATCTGGGCCCATCTCTCCAGATAATCCAATCTCAGCCTTCTATTCTTCCCCCCGACAAACCCCCCGAGTCCGCCTTCTCCCTCCCGGAAATCGTCCTCTTCCGTTCATCCTCTTCTGCGGAATCGCCCAGTCACTCCTCCTCAGACAACGACGATGCCGGAACGGCCCATCCCTCGTCCGCCCTAACCACTTCCACAACGAATCACCAGACCAATGTTGCTGGTGAAATTACCAATCGGCCCCTAGAGTGCATTTCCCCCGAACCCCACATCTCTTCGCAGTTTTACACCTTCAATGCGGAGTCGCACTCGCTCATGATCCAGTGCATCCGAGAGCAACGCCTCGCGACCCCCATGGAGATCTGCGCTGCCACTCCACGCTCCGTTCTCAAGTCCTGGCGAGCCGTGTGGAAGGACCGGAACGAAGACACTGCATACCTCACCGCTTGGAAGCGCATCCAGGATAAGCTCACGTCGCACTTGGACCCTTCCTCCGGTAAAGAATTCCTCTGTTTTAAGAATAATTCTAATCAATTTGTGTCTCACGTTAATCAATGGCAAGACATAGTCATGAGTTTTCACGGCGACGCTGATTTAAAGCATTTAGGGCTTAAAGAAACCATAGAGAGAATCAAGCAAGTTTGGACTGTAGGTGCTAAGTTCTATGGAATTCCTGAGAGTTACATTAGGGTTTGTGTTGCTGCCTGCCCTGTGTGTAATGCCGCCTCAGGGTCAGCTTCAAGGAGTAAAAGACGTCGTTTTGAATACACAGAGTCCTTTGATGTTCCGGCCAAGGAAGTTCCCCATAGGTTGCAACAATTGGCAGCAAAACACAAAGTTGTTCTTTGTATTAGGCAGAAGTATATTAGGAATAAGCCCTTTATGGCTGAGGTGAAGGATTATGCTTGTCATAGAGCAGGGGAACCTGCTGCTAAGAAGTCAAAGATTTTAAAGAGGGAACCCTATGCATCAAAGAGATGTGGGTGTGGCTTCCGAATTAGGGCTATAGTGCCAATTACAAATTATAATGAGAAGGATAAGACTTTTGTGTACCAGGAGGAAGGCATGGCTGTTTTTAAGTTATATGCAGTACATTCTGGCCATGAACCAGGGCCTTTGGATGGGAATGCAAGGATAATGCACAGGGTTGTGGGGCATAAAGGAGGGTTTTTAATGGATCAAGATATGGTGTATGGAGTGAGTGAGGATATGGAAAATGAGGGTTTTGGACTGTTGGGGAAAGATGAAGGGGATTTACAGCTTGCGGTTTTGCAGCAAGTGCAGGAGTTGAGAGCTGAAGTTGGATTGTTGGAAGGGAGGATTGCGAAAATCCCTCATGACTTATTGGGTTCTGTGTCTCAACAGCTGTTTGAAGTTTTAAATAAACTAAGATGTTTAGGGGAAGAGGATCCAAAGTTGGAATTGCTTTCTGAAAAACCCCATTCAGATGATGTGCTTGTTGGGGAGAATGATTTGGCTCACTGGAGTAATCACCATCAGGACACAGAATTGATTGAGGATGATGATGACAGTTTTGGACGTTCACTTGTTACTTGGGAGCACATGAGGACTGAATGTAGGAGTCCAAAAGATTTGATAGGTGAGGCTTGTAAGTCTGATAAGTGGTTGAAATGCAGTGCTTTTGATGAGAAGAGCATTCTTGACTGTGAAGATACTAAACTAACCAAGCCCCTGAGACATGATGAGGCAATAGTGGCAGATGTAGGTCTTGTTGGTATACATGTTGATAGTTTTTACCAGGAGAGTTCTAAATGGTATGATTCTCCATGTGGACTGGATTCAGGCACAGATTGTGATGACAGTGGATTCAGACATGGTGAGATTGTGTAGGGTCATAAACAACCTTGTTAACCAACTCTAACATAGTCATGAATTTATATGGTGCCTCTTGATTGCTTCTGCTGCTGGGCACTGGATTGTACATTCATGTATACTAAAGATTGGAGCCTCTTACATGCCTTTAGTTGTCTATTTCACTACTTGTCCCTGTAAAGTATAGTTATTAGGCTTCTTCGTGCATACGTTGTTTGTAACTATTTGTTAACCACGTTTTGGCCATCCAAAATTCACAAGTTGTGTTCTTCTTAGAATGAAAATCAGTGACTGTGTTCTTTTTATCTACTTCTCATCTTTGATTATTGTGTGTAGTATGTATCATCTCTCTTCTGGCCCTTGTTTCAAATGATAATGTATAGAAGTTGTTTGTAGTGACGTGTGTTTCTTGCCATACTTACCTTGCATTTTTTACTTTCTTTATTTTTGGGCAAAATTTAGCATGCATCATAGTTAGCCTCTTAGTTTGAAAGATCAATTCTGTAGTCACTTTGCGTCATTTGTTTGTGTGTGTTATGTACACAGAATTTAGATGCTTGCTAGTTTGGATAACTATATACGGACTTGGGAGCAAATTCCACCTACACAAAAAGCTTTTTTTTTTTTTCTTTTGTTGGGGGGGAGGGGATGGGGGGTGCGGTTGGGGTTGGCATGGAAGAGAGCTAGTTATTTCATACATGCTTCTGAACGGGCACCATAACTTTGAAGCAGAAATTTGTTCAGGTATAGACTATGGAACTCTGTACTTGTAGTAGCAGCAGAACTCGTGTTAATACCTGTTTTCTTATTATATATGTCTTCATTTACCTTGATGAATGGACTGGGGTTTATAGTATCTTATATTTTTCTTTTCTGCCCTTTACTTTTGAGAACTGTCATTTTGTGACTTTTGACGAAGGTTATTGTGCTTTAATTTTGAAGTGTCAGATGTGATTAAGCCTCATATATGATATCAGCATGCCATGCATACTTATTACCTTGAATTTGACAGCCACCTTCCTGTCCTAATATCTTCCACGTTTTTGAACCAACCCCTTTCAAATTCTTAGAAGGCAACCATCGATTAGCTACTGGAAGATGATTAGATATATTTATGGTAGTAGCTTAACGTTTTCAAGTTCAATATGTATTTGATACGGTAATCTTTTGCTCTTATTCGAAACTGCCCTATTCTGCCCACCCACCAGTCCCTGGCTAAATTATTCATTATGAAAAACCCCCCTTCTCTCCTTTATTTTTATGAGATACATATTCTGCTCCATTTATTATTTTCAGAGGTGTTGTTCATGTTTCCCATTTTACAATTATCAGGTTAAACCAAGATGTGGTGGATTTCATGTGCTAGATTTCTCTGGTGTTGTGTCTGACAGAAGGTAGTAGAATACCAGTGCCTACCAAAATTCACTCTTGGTAAAACTCAAAAGTTAGTACTTAGCAATAAGATCTCTTTGTGCTCCTCTCAGGTCTGAAATTTTTGCAGGAAAGATTATTAATACCCTCTTTTAGTGATGAGTAAATTGAGTTTTTTATATTCTTATTCATTTACCAGATGGAATAACCTTTAGAGCATGTTCGGATATGGTTCTTTTTCTTTTTCTCTTTTACGTTACTTTGTTCTTGCTTTTTAACTCACAATGCCTTCGGCTTAAAATTAGCCAATAAGCACCTATCAAG